AATTGGAGAAGTTCTTAGTCTTGGGCCCTTATTACTATGAGAATCTCTTCTTACTTTCCAATATTTGGGAGTCTACCTGCCAAAACAAAACCAGGAACTATATGAACACAATTATAAAGGTAGACCGAGCTAATATAATAAAAATGACAGTTCTACCTAAATTAATTTACTTATTCCGTGCCATACCAATCAAACTACCAAAAAATTATTTTATAGAGCTAGAAAAAGCAACAACAAAATTTATCAGGAAGAAGAAAAAGTCCAGAATGTCAAAGAAACTAATGAAAAGAAATGCAAGTGAAGGTGGTCTCGCTGTACCTGATCTTAAATTGTATTATAAAGAAGCAATCATCAAAACTACTTGGTATTGGCTAAGAGATAGAATGGTGGATCAGTGGAATAGGTTAGGTCTGCAAGACACAACAGTCAATGACTGTACTAATCTACTATTTGATGAATCCAAAGACTCCAGCTTCTAGGATAAGAAATCACTATTTAGCAAAAACGACTGGAAAACTGGAAAAATGTGTGGCAGAAACTGGGCATAGACCAATATCTTACACTCTATACCAAGGCAGAGTCAAAATGGATACACGATTTAGATATAAAGACTGATACTATAAGTAAACTAGAAGAGCAAGGAATAGTTTAACTTTCACCTCTATGGAGAAGGGAAGAATTTATTACCAAACAAGAAATAGAGAACATTGTGAAATACAAAATGAACAATTTTGATTACATTAAATTGAAAAGTTTTTGCACAAATAAAGCCAATGCATCCAAGATTAGGAGGGAAGCAGAAAACTGGGAAAGAATTTTTGCAACCAGTGTCTCTGATTAAGGGCCTCATTTCTAAAATATATAGAAAACTAAGTCAAATTTATAAGAATTCAAGTCATTCCCTAATTGACAAATGGTCAAAGGATATGAACAGACAGTTTTCAGAGGAAGAAACAAAAGCTATCTATAGTTATATAAAAAAAATGCTCTAAATCATTATTGATTATATCCCTCTTTGTGGCCTTGTTTTAAAAAAAAAAAGAGCAAGCACCTTTTAATCTGAAACAGTCCTCTGGGATTAAATTTAAGTCAATATATTCATCAAGTGAAGGACTTTTTTTAGTGACTGTTTATAAAATAACATTGTCAAACTAAAATTATGGTGTTTGACTTGTACCATTATATATGACTTTACATATATGCATACACATACATAGACATATATGCACATGTATATATATATATATACATATATGCATTTTTATACTGCCATTCCTACATAACTTCTTATAAGTGGAGCTGTTTCAATTTTTTTATTTCTCCCAGCACCTAACACAGCATCTTATACATATTAGGTACTTAATAAATGCTTGTTGAATTAATAAATTAGCACCCAGAGTAGGGGTTCTTCACCTTGAGACCACAGACTCCTTAAGTGTTTATGGATAGACTGGCAGTGAGTCTATGAAGTTTGAATATAGTTTGACCCACAAGTCCCCAAACATATAATTCAATAATTCCTTAAAAACTAAGTCTTTAAATTTTCATTTTAGTAAGATCCTCTATTTTAGAGGCAAGGATACTGTGGCTTAGAGAGATAAAGCAACATCCCCAGTCACAAACACCTAGGTCTCCTGACTCTGTCTGGTACAGCCAAAACCACATTGTGTCTCTGTTTAGGAATGAGTGTGAGGACTCAAAGGATTTGGTTATTCAAAACTTCTATTCTTGCAGCAGAATAATATGTAGTATAAGTTCTTCTCCAATGATCAACCTTGAAATAATAACAACTATATCATTCTGATTTTCACAGGGCAAAAGAGTGATTTTTAATACTGAATTATCTTCTTAATTTATGAACTGCTGCTACAGCAAAGATAGTTGTGTTATATGTTGGGGTTTTTTTTTAAATCCTAAGATCCTAGAATAGTACCTGGCACATAGAAGGTGTTTAATAAATGTGTGATTGACTGATTGATAGAGATTTGAGAAGTCTACCAACAAATGAAATTAAATAAAATACATTTATTTTGCTGAGTATTAACTAGGAATATGGACTACATTCAACTTGGTTGCTAAAACATGGAAATGTTCAATTATTTAATCTTCAAATTGTTACTTTCCCCCTCTTCTGTTTAAGTATGTCATTTTCTGATGTTTCACATTTGGCTATGAACTGTGTTCCATATGACTCATAAAATTATAAAAACTTTAAGTATGAGGCATTTTCACATGTCTTATATTTCTGAAAAGCTGCCTTCACACAAACATTATCAATTTAGAACACAAAGCTGAATAGACAAGTTATTAATGTTAGAAAGATTTCCACTTTTTTGGAGCTGCCAACAGCACTTGTTGGAATTAAGAATATCAGTTGTTTTGTTTACTTCTACTTAAATATTTTACATTTTATTATTCTAAAGGAAAGGTGTATGAAAGGGAGGGGTGGGCAATTCTCAGTGTCAGTCTAAATTACCTTCAAAATTTTAATGAAGAGAGGTAGTTACTATCTGTAACACAAATTCAATGGTGATATAGTGTTATGATATAAATAACTGTGATCAATATACTTAACAAAGAATAATGAAAATTCTATTATTTTTAAACTTTGATGTCCTATTTATTGTTTCTAATGACCAAGAAATATATGTAGTGCATAGGTTCTTAACCTAGGTGTTATGATCCTATTAATAATATTTTGATAACTGTATTTCAGTATAAATTACATCCTTTGTAGTTCTATTTATTTCATTTTATGCATTTAAAATATTATTCTGAAAAGGAGGTTCATAGGCTTTTTTAGAATCCTAAAGGGGTCCCTGACACAAAAAAAGAACCCCTAAGGAGAACTTTTTATCTTGTTTGTTCTTACTCAGAAGTATTTGCAGTAAGGGAATTAAATTTCTCTAGGGGAATTATGCTCTTACCAACATATTGATTCCACTGATAATGTTGAATATACCCTTGTGGACAACCACACCTGTAACCTCTGAGAATGTTTTGGCAGTCATGCTGGCACTTATGGTTTGCATCATATTCATCCACTTCTGCAAGAACAATCCAAATAATATGACTATTAAAAAGAAAATCCCAAAATAAAAACTCCAAGGAATGTTATAGCCAATTTCAGAGCTATCAGGTCAAGGAAAACATACTACAAGTGGCCAGGAAGAAACAATTGAAATATTGGGAATCCACAATCAAGATCACACAGGACTTGGCAGCTGCAATATTAAAGGACTGGAGGTCATGAAACATGATATTCTGGAAGGCAAAGGAGCTAGGACTACAACCAATAACCACTTATTCAGCAATATTAAGCATAATACATCAAGGGGAAAAAATGGTCATTCAATGATACAGAAGGATTTTAAGCTTTCATAAGGAGAAGACCAGAATTATACCAAAAATTTGATCTTGAATATCAAGACCCAAGAGAAGCACAAATAGGTAAAAAGGTAAAAGAAAACATAAGGAATTCAATAGAACTAAACTGGTTACATCTCTACAAGGGAAGATGCTATTTGTCGTTCTTAAAAAGTATATCACTAATAGTACAGCTAGAAAGAATATACAGAGACAGAGGCTATGGGTAATAAAGTGAATCTGAAGGAATGATATAAAAAAAAAGGGATGAGAAAGAAGAGTACACTGGGTGCAGAAGAAAAGGACAGGTAGAATAGGGTAAATTATATCACATGGAGACCCAAGAAAGACCTATTACAGTGGAGGGGAAGATGGGAGGGTGGGTGATGGGCACTGCTTGAACCTTACTCTCAACAGTACTAGATCAAAGAGAGAATAATATACACAATAGATTGAATATAGGAAACTATCTTAATAGGGAAGTGGGAGGGGAGGAAATTAGGTAAAGGGGGGACTGAGAGAAGGGAGGGCAAATCAGGGGAGATGGCTGACAGAAGCAAAACACTAGTGAAGAGAAAAAGGGTGAAAGGAGAGAGAGAGAACAAACAGGAGAAAGAATAGGATAGAGGGAAATACATAAGTAGCAGTCATAATGGTGAAGGTGAATGGGATGAACTCTCCCATAAAATGGAGTAGATAGTAGAGCGGATCAAAAACCAGAATACTGTAACATGTTGTTTACAATAAACACACTTGAAGGAGAGAGACACAAACAGAGAAAAGGTAAGGCACTGGAGCTGAATTTATTACGCTTCAGCTGAAGTAAAAAAAAAAAAAGCAGAGGAAGCAATCTTGATCTCAGACAAAGTAAAAGCAATAGATCTCAAGGAAGGAAACTACATCTTGCTAAATGGTACCATAGACAATGAAGCAATGAAATTACAAGAGCAAGGAATAGTCTACCTGTCACATCTATACTCTTTGTTATATCACAGTGTTAAAGACACTGTTCTAGTACTCCTATTTTTTAATCTAAATAGTTATATAATTAGGTGAAATCAATTGCTATCTTCTTGCTATAATAAACAAGAAATCTGTCATGCTGAGAACTGGATAGGTATTCATAAGAAATACTTTAGTCTCCTAGTTGTCACGAAACTAACCAGCTTATTATCGATTACAGTTGTATTTGATTATTGTATAATCATTGTATTTGACAGACCTTGGTTTTTGTAACATTGCTTTCTCCAGGTTCTCCAATGTGTCTTGTCTAAAATATTAAAACAGTTTTTTAACTAATCTCCCTGCTTTAAGTCTTTTGCCATTCCCAACCCATCCTCCACATAGGTGCCAAAATGATTTTTCTAAAGAGGTCTGACCATGTCACCCTCCCTGCTTAATGAACTTTAGTGACTCCTTGTTACCTCTAAGATAAAAAATAATCTCTTTAGTTTGGTATTTAAAGCTCTTCATAACCTGATTCTTTCCTACCTTTCCAGTCTTTTTACACTCTGCTCTTTTTATACTCTGCTCTCCTCTACACTCTATTTCAGCAACACTTGCAATTCCTTGAACATGATACTCTTTCACTTTCTTGTCTGAATGCTCTACCCTTTTCACCTTTACCTCAACTTGAACTTCTTCAAGTCTTAGCTACAATTCCACCTGCTGTAGAAGGCTTTTTCTTCTGCCTCCCCATCCCCACCCCCATGTCAGCTGCTTCCCCTGTTAAGAGTGCCTTCCAGCTACTCCAGATATATCTTCTATCTACCTAAATATTTTTGTATTTTTTTCTCTTATTAGAATTTAAGCTCCTTGAGAGCAAGGACTTTCTTTGTGTCCCTGGAACTTAGTAAACACTTAAAAATGACTATTGATTAGACTTTCATCAGCATTTAAGTAACAGCTTCAAAGCTGTCAATACAGTTATTTGGAAGTATGCATTACAGCAATGATGTCAAACAAACAGAAAAGAAGGCCACTAAATTGTGTATAAGGATGTCTGCAGACTTAGAAAATCACATAACATTATTTATATTTTATTGTATTATACTCATTATTATTACTTATTTTGTTAAATATTTCCCAATCACATTTTAATCGATTTGGGCTGCACTTGGGAGTGCTGGGCCTGCCTGAGTGTTTGATACCTCTGCTATACAGCTAATTAATCATGTGTGATTCCATCAGGTTTTGCTTTCTGAAGTTAGACAATCCCTAGGACTGTCCTATACTGAAGTTCTTTTATAGATTGAAAAAAAAAATTCAAAATAAAGCAAAGCTTTCTTTTTCACCTCTATAAGTCTTTCCATCTTCTTGAAGGATATATCCTGGAGGATAAGAACACTTATAACTTCCATCAGTGTTTTTGCAGATGAAGTTGCAAGGTTTAAGAGATGGGGAACACTCATCAAAATCTAAAGAATGAATGAATAAGTTGCATAAATATTAATAACTGGTTAAAAGGTACAAATGACATCTCTCACTTCAAATCTATTAAATTTTTACTTATAGAATTATAAAACTGTAGAATATTAGATATAGCTTACAATTGGAAAGCAATTTGGAACCATATAAATCAAGTGACTAGTATGTCTATACCCTTTGAACAAGAAACTCGATTACTGGGCTCATACCCCAAGGAACTTACTGACAAGAATAAAGTCCCCAGATGTTTCAAAATATTTATAGCAACATTTTTTGTGATAGCTAAGAATCAGAATCAAAATAGATATCCATCAATAGGGGAATGGCTAACCAAAGTTCAGTACATGAATGAAGTTTATAGACTCCTAGTAAGTTTTTTTTTCACTTTACTGTAAGAAATAATGTGTGTAATGTCATCATTTTAGTAATTAAGCATTATTGTTTTCTATTTGTTTTGTTTCAAAATGTATTCATTAAAATATGTATGTAATACTGTAGCCATTTGCTGGCACTGAGGTATTATCTAGTTGAACAAAGCTTCTTGTCATATTCAGGTACGCAACTTGAGGATTGTAAAAAGGGATGGTCCTATTCTGTTCTATGACAGAACTTACATTTCAATGTTCAGTAAGGAAGAAGACTGTTAATTAAAACAAATGACTTGTAGGAAATATGCGACAATCAGCAATCAAAAGGAAAAGCTGATAGATCTTACCTACACAAGAAGTTCCACTTGTGTTGGCTATATAGCCAACATTGCAGAAGCATCTGAATGAATCCATGGTATTAATACACTGATCATTATTATACAAGTTTTGCATCACTTTATATTCATCTGTATCTGTAGGGAAGGAAAAATTAAGTTGAAGTAAATGGAATAAATGTATTTTCTGATCTGTAAAGACACAACTCAGAAGCTGGATGAAAGAAAAGGTTTTAATTGAATCCATCTTTATCATTTGTTTATTTCTAAATCAATTGAGTGTCATAGGCACCAGCACCATTCTCTGAAAAAGGCTTCAAGGAGCTAATTTAAATATATAATAACAAAATCCATTTCCCTGTAGATAAATGGTAGGAGATGTGAATAGGATGTTAGGAAGAAACCCAAGCAATCAATAAAACATGAAAAACATTTCAAATTATTAGTAGAGAAATGTAAATGAAAGTAACTCTTAGGTTACACCTCTCATATATTAGATTGGCCAAGATGATAAAAAAGCAAAATGACAAACACTGGAGGGATTGCAGAAAAACAGGCACATTATTCCATTGCTGGTGGAGCTGTGAATTAGTCAAAGCATTCTGGAAAACATTTGGAACTAAGCCTCCAAAGTCACTAAACTGTGCATGTTCTTTGGCTTAGGGATACCACTTACTAGGCCTATACCTGAAAGAGATTAAAAAAGAAATATATACAAAAATATTTACTGCAGCTCCTTTTTTAGGGGTAAAGAACTAGAAACTAAGAGGGTGCTCATCAAGTAGAGAATAGTTGGACAAATTATGTCTAGAGTATTTGACCTATTAGTTTTTTTCCAGTTAGTTTTCTTTTTATTTATATTAGTGTAGTCATGAAAAATAAAAAATGGATCTGAAAAATACTGAAATATAAAAGTGTTATTTCAAGTTTGTTGATTATTACTGCTTGGTAGTATAGTTTGAGATCTGATACTGCTGGCCCATTTCCTTCTGACTTTTCATTATTTCACCATAGATTTTTGATAATTGGTTTTTTTTTAATTGGTGTGGTACTAAATAAACAAATTGATTTAGATAGTATTGCAATTTTTAGCATTGACCTACCCATGAGCAATTAATTTTCTTAAATTATTTAAAATCTGTTCTTTGTATTTCCTACAGAATACAAAGTTGGTGAAAAGTTGAGGGTTTGTGTGACTCTAATCTGTATTATCTAGGGTCCCGTAATGGTTTTCTATGGTTACTGAGTGCTATATTCTTCAAAGATCCCAAATATGCTTCAGCCCAGGGAAATGCAAACTTTCAGTGTATCTAACTTGTCTAATTTGTGAAGTGGTCTGTTCTCAGCCTTCTTGCCCTGAGGTTTATAGACTCCTAACAAGTTTTTAAAATGTAGCCTTGTCCCTAGTTTTCTGGCTAAAGCCAGCTAGTCAGCAGGTTCTGTACTTTCTGAGTGCAAGAAATGCAAGTACTCCTCTAATCTGTACTCCCTTGCTCTGGTTACTCAACTGCAGACCCCAGTACAGGTCTGTTGGCTGAATCCAAGATCATACTCTAAAGACAGAGCTGTAGGGTTGCTGTTGGTCTGTCTTCCTTGCCTAGGTATTCATCAGCCCATCCTGGACCTGACTTCCCATTCAGCATCAGAGCAACAAAGCTACTGGCTGCTGCCTGTTGTTATTACCTGTCCTGCACATAGCTGCAAGACCAGTCCATTTTTCCTCATGGAAGCTTTTGTATCGGGCCTTACTGGTTCTATACTCTCTCCAGTCCATTTTCCTTTTCTGACATGGGCTGAAAAAATGACTCACTGTGGATTCTCCCTGGATTTCTCAAATATGTCTCAGTCTAGTACTCTTCCTCTACCTTTGTGGGAGTAGTTGTGGGTGAAAGCTAGGATATATTCTTACTCTGTCATTTTTGCCAGTCTAATATACAATTAATTTGAAGATATAGTAAAGAAATGGGAAAAGGGAGAAACGTCTTGAAAAAACCAAGGGCTCAGAAGAATCTTTTTTTCAGGAATGATCAGTAAAACTCCAGAGTATGTAGATATTTAGCAAAAAGTTGTACACATAATCTGTTCTTTTGTAAGTCCCAAAATTACAATATACTGTCAGTAGTAACCAATTGTACCAGAAATTTTTAAAAAATCATCTGCTTTTAGTTCTTCCTCATGTTCTAAATCTACCTGAATTTCCAACATTTATAAAATTCCTTAGCTCATCAGCTGTCATCTAAAACAAGCTTAAGAGATCATAGATCTTAGAGATGCTGAGTGATTTCTGAGTAAGACTGAGGATGCACATAAAGGAAATTCAACCAAAGTCAACAAACATCTACTAAGGGACTAGTATTACCAGTCCATTATGTGGGAGGGAAGTAAGCTTTTACTTTAGCCCTGGATACTGAAATGTCCTACAGAACAGCTGAGAAGGTAGAACTTGGACCAGTGATTTATGATGGAGGTTGCAAATATATTTATAGGATAGGAACAGCACACTCTAGTGGTAGTCAAAAGAAGAACAGAAACATACAGGGACATGATAGTAATATTAAGGAGAGGGTATGAAGATGGATAGCACTGGAGATGTACCACTGAATGAAATAGAGATTGGAAGTATGTTAGGACTAAGAGTATCTAGCTTTCTTTCCTAGAACTCTTAGCTTGACATGTAAGGTTCAGATTATTGCAAAGACACTTGGGATTGTGTGTGTGTGTGTGTGTGAGTGTGTGTGTGTGTGACAGAGGACTGATAGTCTTGAACTACATCCCAGCTTTCCAACTGTAGAGATGTTGATCCATGTAATTGCAGGTAGCATTTAAAATAAAATTTAAGTGGCTGAGTGTGGTGGTACAAGCCAAGAGTCCCTGCTGCTAGGGAGGCACTTGAATTTTAGGAGTTCTTAGTTGTACAGTAGACCTAAACTGAGTATCTGAACTTAGATGCAAATATGGCAAGCTCCCTAGAAGAAGAGACATCAAGCTGCTGAAGGACAGTAAAATCAAACAGGAAATAAGTAAATAAAATAAGTAAAATCAAACAGGAAAAAAACCCCATAACTAGAAATACATCTGTTCAGTACTCCTCAATCAATCACAAAATACTGAAATATATCAACTGAATGCTCCTTATCACTGAAACCTCAAATCTGGAGTGCAGTTGACTTGTAATCCATCAATTGGCCTAAAATTGTCTCTACACTATATGTGGAAAGGGGGCTTCCTAAATAAAATTAATAATGTAAATATGATTTACAGTTATTCCTTCCATATCAGGACTTTCCCCATAATGGTTTCAATATATTGTGAATCAGCATAAGAAATTTAATGGGAATTTTGAGGTAGTTTTGTGGAAGCCACAGATGATACGAGAAAAACCAGCAGACAACAAAAAGTTTAGAAACTCATAAATGCATAAAATATGTGTGTAGTACTGTATGATATATTGTGTAATATGGTTATACACTAAGTATACTCAATATTATTCTCCTCAAATTTGTTTCATTTTTAAAATTTTCAAATTTATTTCCTATTTTTAAATTTATTTTTATATAGTATTTTTGCTTAACATTGATCTACATATAGCCTATGACCAAATACTTCACGCAAATTTTAAAATAAGGTACTGAAAACACACCATAAAAGAAAAAGAAAAAGATCAAACTTCTTCTCTAGTATGAAAAGAAGGCCAAAAACTTTTATACAAATTTTCCAGATTGTGGGGACTCCATTCCCCTAATCCCCACGATGTGGAAGGGATAACTGTACATAACATATTTAAGTGTATTTAAACTAAGAGAGAAAATATATTTTAATTTTAGTCACATTGAAATATTACATTATTTTTATGTAAATAGAAGCTGTTTATCACAAAAAGTCTTATCTATTTATGAAAACAGATCTCGTTGATCTTTTACTTGTAGAATACTTTTTAGCAGTTAGTTTAGTTAGTTTGAATTTACAGTACTTTTTGAAAGAAATATAAGAGAATTTATTGAAATGTTAAATAATAAAATCAAGTTTTCCTTTGAATATATTAAATATTTTAAATAAGTCATACTTGTCATTTATTCAAACCAGTATGTAGATTCATACCTCTTCCATCTGTGGCATATCCTGGGCCATGACAAATCTTTACATACTGTATAGTTACAGGAAGTGGGCAAAGTTCACATTGGTTATGCCAGCCGCATCCTTCACGACAGCAACACTCAGACTTTGTGACAAGGTTCTGGCTACTGGAAGCCATGTGACATATGGACTGTAGAAGTTCAGCAAAGCAGAATCTTTTTCTGTCATCTGCATAAATAAAGTGGAGGAAAAATACAAACACCATAAAGGCCTATGATTTTTATTTATTATCAATGTTTACAAATAAACCTTAAATATATCTGTCAATGATTGTTGTCCAAAAAATAGTTTGCAGCAAGTACTTTTGCTATAATTATTCCTTTTTTCAAAAAATTTCCTAAGGACAATCATTATATAGTTCATAGGCACTATTTTAAGGTATTACAGGATTTTTTTCTTATAAGTAATAGAAATTATTTATAATCTTTGCTTCAGACTTAGGACGGTATTGACATGGACACTTTTAGTATGAGAAGTTTACACATTAAAGCACAAGGATTATCAGGTGCCCCTTAAAGCTAAAAAAACCCTTTCTTTTAACAAAAAGTTTACTAAATTTGACTAAATGTGATAAGGTAGTTCATCACCTTATAATAAGCACTCTAAAAGAACTGCCTCAGTGACCACAGGAACTTCCTTTCAGTCCTCATTGCTGACCCTGGTAATTCCTACTCTTTCTCTTCCACTAAAACCAGCTGTTGCTATTATATTTTCCTGATCCTTTAATCATATCCCTTCATCTCACCTTGGCCCAAGATTTGTTAGGGTTTGAATCTGAGATAATAGGTTCCTTGCTTCCTTCCACAATCGCAATTTCTCATCTCTCATCTTTGCCCTCTTTCCAGAGATCTCTTCCTTCTCCTTCCCTCTCACTACTCTCTCTCAGTCTCTATCCTGTTGATGTTCAATTAATTTGTGTGGAGCCATCCATTACAAGTGACATGGATTTTTCTCAGTAGATGTGAACTTTTACTTTCACTATTTGGCAGGAATAAGAAGATATGCAAGTGTAGCGCACACACCCTCCACCAAAAAGAGAAAGAATTTTAGAACAGCTGAAATGAAGCCTACTGGAAAGAATGGAAATATTCAGTTTGTTTTTGACCCACTGATGAAAGAGCGCTTATGCTTTTAAATAAAGCATAAGAGAAGAGTTATCTTTCTCTTGCCTTGAAGGAAAAAATCTTACAAGAGGAAAGGTGTGTGTGTGGGATAGGGATCTTTTGTGCAGGGGTTTTGAGAGAGCTGGTAGTTAGTGTGAAGGTAGGCAGAGCTGCTGGGAAAAGGGAGACCACAATGACGCTGTCTCAACCTTCTACACCTGGAAGAGCAGCTTGAAACTAAAAGAAGTGTCTGGGTAGAATGGTTGCTGTTTACCTTGGTGTTCAGAAGAATTGACGGAAATTTTTGTTTAGCCCTCCTCCCTCCTCTTTCTCTGATCAGGAAAGCATATGTTAAGTCCAAATTCTTCTTTAAAATTTGTTTATATTTCTATTCCATTAGTATTGAAAACTGATACGAGTGTGATGGACAACTGCAATTACTGATTTTTATGTATTTCAATATTGGTAACAGGGTGTGAGAGACAGGAACTAAGGCATTAAACACACACAAAAAAATAGATTCACTGTCTGAAGTTCCTAGAACTTTTTCTCTGGAGTCTCTGGAATAAAATGAAAAAGAATCTTATTGATTTATGCTTAACATCAAAAAGAGGGACAGAAGAATCTATTTTGCTCCTAGAAATAAAGAGTGAGCTCAGTCATAGTTTCTGTCTGGTGAAGTGATTGGAGTTTGGGCCTTCTCCATTCTCCTGCTCTGACCATGAGGGTGATGATTAGAGGCAAAGTCACATTGAATGAGAGGAGTGGCTAGAAAAGACTGGTGAGGACTGCATTTTGAAGGTGGGACAAAGGGAGAGGGAATAAAAATCCTTCCTCCTTTAGCAGTGAAGCAGAATCTTTTCACTGAACACAAACAAGCACTTACATGAATGATGAAGGTATTTGTAGTATCCGAAGTTTAAACTATGAATTTATTTTCTCTTTTAAAAAAGTTAGGGCAGCTAGGCAGTGCAGTGGACAGAGCACCAGCCCTGGAGTCACGAGGACCTGAGTTTAAATCCAGCCTCAGATACATAACACTCACTAGCTGTGTGACCCTGGGCAAGTCACTTAACCCTAATTGCTTCACCCAAAAATAAATAAATAATAAAAAAGATAAATATAGTCATTGACTATTGTGTCTTGCATACCTAACCTATTCCACTGATCCACATTCTATTTCTTAGCCAGTACCAAATAGTTTTGATGATTGCTGCTTTATAATACAATTTAAGATCTGATAGGGGTAGGCCACCTTCCCTTGCATTTCTTTTCATTAGTTCCCTTGATATTCTGGACTTTTTGTTCTTCTGGATGAATTTTATTATTATTTTTTCTAGCTCTATAAAATAATTTTTGGTAGTTTGATTGGTATGGTGCTGAATAAGAAAATTAATTTAGGTATTATTGTCATTTTTTATTATATTAGTTCAGCCTACCCATGAGCAACTGATATTTTTCCAATTACTTAGATCTGACCTTCTGTGGAAAGTATTTTGTAATTGTGTTCATACAGTTCCTGGGTTTGTTTTCACAGGTAGACTCCCAAATATTTTATAATGTCTACAGTAATTTTATTTTTAAAATTTATTTATTTTTAGTTTTCAATATTCACTTTTATATGATTTTGAGCTTAAATTTTCTCCCCCTCCCACTCCTCTCCCCCCACCACCAAGATGGTGTGTAATCTGATATAGGCTCTACTTATACATTCATATTAAGCATATTTTCCCATTAGCTGTGGTATAAAGAACAACTAGAACTAACGGGAGGAGCTATGAGAATGAAGCAATAAAACAAAACAACAAAGGAAAAGGAGAGCAAATAGTATGTTTCCCATTTGCATTCAGACTCCATAGTTCTTTCTCTGGAAGTGAATAGCAATCTCCATTGTGAGTCTTTTGGAGTTGTCTTAGATTCTTGCACTGCTGAGAAGAGCCAAGTCTGTGAAAGTCACTCATCACACAGTGTGGCTATTACTGTGTACAATGTTCTCCTGGTTCTGCTCATTTCACTCTACATCAGTTCATGTAAGTCTTTCCAAGTTCTTTTGAAGTCTGCCTGCTCATCATTTCTTACAGCACAATAGTATTCCATTACATTCATATACCACAACTTGTTCAGCCATTCCCTAATTGATGGGCATTGCCTCATTTTCTAATTTTTGCCACCACAGAAAGAGCTGCTATAAATATGTTTGTACATGTGGATCCTTTTCCCATTTTTATGATCTCTTTGAGATACAGACCTAGAAGTGGTATTGCTGGGTCAAAGGATATGCACAATTTTATAATTCTTTGGGCATAGTTCTAAATTGCTCTCCAAAATGGTTGGATCATTTCACAACTCCACCAACAATGCATTAGTGTTCCAATTTTCCCACATCTTCTCCAACATTTATCATTTTCCTGTTTTGTCATGTTGGCCAATGTGATAGGTGTGATGTGGTACCTCAGAGTTGTTTTGATTTGCATTTCTCTAATCAATAGTGATTTAGAGGATTTTTTCATATGACTATAGATAACTTTTGTTTCTTCCTCTGAAAATTGCCTGTTCATATCCTTTGACCATTTGTCAATTAGGGAATGACTTGTATTCTTATAAATCTGACTTAGTTCTCTATATATTTTAGAAATGAGGCCCTTATCAGAGACACTGGTTGCAAAAATTCTTTCCCAGTTTTCTGCTTCCCTCCTAATCTTGGATGCATTGGTTTCATTTGTGCAAAAACTTTTCAATTTAATGTAATCAAAATTGTTCATTTTGTATTTCATAATGTTCTCTTTTTCTTGTTTGGTAATAAATTCTTACCTTCCCCATAGAGGTGAAAGTTAAACTATTCCTTGCTCTTCTAGTTTACTTATAGTATCAGTCTTTATATCTAAATCGTGTATGTTAATGTTGATTTAGTTTAGCTGAGCTGCTGCCTCTAATCTACCATAAATCATTTCTTAATGGCACTGTGCCAGAATAAACTATATTATCATTTTGAGAAGACTCACATAGAAAATCCCAAAATAACAATCTGGTAAACGTTTAATTAAATATTAAACTATAATTTTTTTTGTCCTTAGTGACAGTTAATAAGCAGCTTTCATGTCTTTGTAGGCTAGAATTATGAAAAGGTAATAAAAAAAATAAAATGATGAGAACTGAGATGTTAACTACCAGTTAGCAAATCTAAGGGGAATAGATACTCTAAAAGAGAAGAATTTGGATGTGGTATCTAGCTTTGAAACACCTGGCAACATTTAACTTAAAAATGAAATAATTTGCAAAAAGAACCAGCAACCAACGTTTGGTTTAGTTTACTAAGAATGGCTAAAGAGTAGAAGGAGAGCTGGGATTTTTATAATCTAGCCACTGCTTAGATTCCTAAAAACTAGCCACAGCTTAGATTCTTAAAATCTAGCCACTGCCTAGAGTCTTATAATCTTGCAAATAGTTTGTTCAGACTCCTTAAGAGTCTGCCCAATGGATGTTCTAATAAACCTTGTCTTTGGCTGAAAGACGGCTCAGGTCGAAATCTTTCAGGCAGGACACACATGTTGTGATTTTGGGGTCCCAGGACTCCTGAACCCCTAAACTGCATCATTTTGGTGGCCCGTAAAGGGAAACTACTTAACCCCAAGTTCTTCTCCAGCCAAGACTGGAAAGTATGTAAGCCTCCTCTCCCTTCCTTTCTTGCTCTGCAGTTGGGTTCACTCTCTAAGCACCAAGGCTTGGAGGTGCTTTTCGGGCAGACAGTTACGAGGCTGTCTCACACTCGGCCTGATGTTCTCAGGCTCTCGGTCCACTGGGTCAGTTTGAGGCCATGGACCTGGGTACACCTTCCACAGCATAGAGGACAAGGATGGATGCCCTAACCAGAAGTGTATGAATTCCCTCAGCACTAGGGAATTGGGGAAAACTGTATTTTGGTTCCCTGAGGCTTACTTACTCCCTTCCCTCTGCACCTCTGAATCCTCCTTCTTGGAGGTTACAGGGAAAGTTAGAACAGCTAAAATATCTTGGCAGATTCTGGAGGTTTTGTGATTGATCATTAGGGAGTTTTGAAACACCTTTGATTTCACCCTCCCCCACCTGGGAAAGGAAGGAGGGGTAAGGGGCAGCAGCTACAGCATGGGCCCCACTGGCAATGGCCTTGGGCTCTGGGGCAACCTTTGCCTGGAAGCATCACTCAGGTTCAGCACATCCTGCTCAAGGTAAAGAAGCTGGCCTCTGAACTTGGGTAAGCATGCTCTTTTAAATTTGTAGTTTTAACTGTTAAGGATGAGATGTTGATTCTCTGTGTAAAGTAATTTGGAAGTGCATTTAACAAAACTGAAGTCACCTGATTGGTAATGGGTTTGTTTCAAGTCTCAAATTGGTGAACTTTCCGTATGAGTTATGTCAAGCAACTTTTCATAATTTGGTTACCACTAAAATAATTTGGCTATTGTTGGTTATTGTTTTAATGTATAAACTAGCTGAAAAGCTTGTTTGGGTTATTGCTTGCTGAGAATTTGCAAGTGTATAGAAATCTCTAATGACTGGCTTTTTACACCAGGAAAATTTAAGTTTGAGATGTAAATCCTGGAAAAGTTTTCCTAAGCTGTGATTAGTAAAACTTGCTCTTTGACATAAAAGTTCATAGGATTTTATTTTGAGTTGTCTGATGGGTCATAATCTATTGATAATCAATAATCCACCATCTGAGAGAAATGGCACAAGCTACTCAGAGAAGCTGATACTGGTGGGAAGTCAGCATTGGGAAAAGCTGAGAGGACAATTTTAGCCTCAGTCTAAGATGGGATCCTCCTGGCTCAGTTTCCCCATGATGTTCCTTCGAAAGGGAATGTTACCCACTTGGCTATTCCTGAGTCTGGCTATGAGGTGGGTTTGATGCTGCCTGGTTGGAAAACTGAATTATCTGAATCCAAATGAGCTAAGGATGCTTTATTCTCTCATTTGGACCCTAAACCTAGTCCCTGTTTTATATCTCGGCCCTGCAGTCTTTTCTGTCAGATTTGTGTCTTCCAGACTACAGACCATTCACCTACAGTTGGTAGCAAACAGCAAGTACCGGCCAGTGTTCCCCATCATTCTTGGATGCAGCCTGTGCTCAGTTCCAGTCAACTTCCTCTTTGGGACCCCCTCGAGGAAGGGACAGCTCTACACCCCTTGCCAGCAGGAAGCAATTTCAGAAGCTGAGACCTTCGCCCCTTACTCCTAAAGAATTTGGGTCCCACTTGTTTGAGGGGGGAATGATGGGGTTGGGATCTGGGCCCCAAAAAGGAAAAACCCTGGACTTATCCATATGGCCAAATCTCTGGCTTTCCCCTGAGGCTATAATCCCATCAACTTGCCTTTCATTGTGGACTTCCCTATGGCCTCAGGCCATTTCTCCATTCTCCCTTGGCCATGTGGTCCAGGTCCCTGGAATTCTATTACCTCATAGACTACTTGGCCATTCCTAGATCCCTCCCATAGTCTTTCTGTATATAAGGTCCATCTTATCTCCATTAAGATGCTGGGATTCTTAAAATCTAGCCACTGCTTAGATTCCTAAAATCTAGCCACTGCTTAGATTCTTATAATCCAGCAAATAGCTTTTTCACACTCCTTAAGAGTCTGCCCAATGGATGTTCTAATAAACCTTGTCTTTAGCTGGAAAAAAAAAAGAGTGGAAGGAGGAAAAAGTGGGATGCTGTAATTTTTAAGATTTAACAAAATACTTACTTAATGAAAGAGAAAGCAGAATGACCCACCAATTTATTTCACGGACTCATCTTTACTGACTACTGTCTCTCTATTGAGGGGCCATGTTTTGTTGGACTTGACTACTCAATTTGATCTTTTCTCTTTTTATTTTTTTAGAAAAATGAATATCAATGTCTTTTTCCAAATCTTACCTATACAACTTTCCCCATCAGATCTTTGGGACATTCCAGTGGGGCAGACACACATGAAAGTACCAATAATATTCTTACACATTATGCATCTGGATTCACAGTCATGTAAGCTTTCAACACATTTATCTAGATTTGTAAGAAACAGAATATTGTATAGCTAAGAAAAGGATCCTGGGAAGTAGGTTCATGTTCAAAATTTAAGCACAAGTATTTTAAAATAATAGCTTTATTTTCCTCTATAAACTAAAATTTTACTTTCCTTTGTAAACTAAATCTTGCGAGACTAAGAAATAACTCCCCTCAAAATACTCAGGATGTCTAAAGCAATTCTGCCAGATTTCTAAAAAATGTCCAAATGACGTAAAGCTAAGAAGAGTGCAACTGTCTTTATTTTAAATAAAATAGTCTTGCATAACAACAGTCCCATAACATAGTTTGTTATCTTACTACACAATCTCCCTCTGATATAACTTCAAGGTAATCAGGGGAACATCAGACATTCTATCATCTTAGGCCAAGATTACTTAATCAAAGACATATAGTAATGCAACAAATATAAATACCACTCTAGACCAAATTCATTTAAGAACTGGAACAGCTATAGTTCCAATATGGGCAAAGTTGGTATTAGCAGTATAAAACTGTTTTTACAAAATTAAGTATAAGCTTAGATTTTACTTATTAAATATCTTTACCTTTACACATCTTTTGATCTTCCCTTAGGGCATAGCCAGCAGGACAAGTGCATGCATAGTAACCAAAGGTATTTATGCAGCAAAAAGTACATAACAGTGGATTCTGGGCACATTCCTTGATATCTGAACAGAGATAAAAATGCAAATACATTTGTATATTCTTAACATAATAGTCTATTTAATTAAATGACAGATGATCATTAGACACTGTCTGTTACTCAAATAATGTTGAATTTCCTCTTAGACCTCATACAACACTGCTTTGCACCTATCCAATGTTATCATACGTTATTGTTTTACAATTATCTCTACATATGCCCTTATCCTCTACTTAGACTGTAAGATACATAAAGGCTAGGAATTGTGCTTTATACAAGTTTTATATCTTTCTCAGTGACTAGCCCTACATATAGTATTTAATAAATGTCAACTTAAATTTGATTGAACCTAGGTGAGTGATAAATTGTGTTTGCCTTTGAAATTGGTAACCAGAGGAAGGAAGAAGGAACACTAAAACAGTTTCAAACAACATGATATAATTGTGAACACTGAGAATCTATAGTAGTAGAGTGATCAATTTAGAGTAGCTATCTCACTGTGATATTATATGAAGGAGATGAGATAAAATATATGGAGATTAAAAAAATGTAATGGTGGTAGCAGCAACAGGGAAGCTCTTTTTGAGCAGAGGCTATGTATTAACCACACATCAAAGAAGCTTTTTCCTCTGGTGGAATGGGAAGAACACTAAATGGAGTCAGAATAGTTTTTTTAAAGTTTATAGTCCATTGCTTATGACGTGATCCTCAGTATGTCATTTAACCTCTTTAAACCTGTACAGTGGTGATAATATTATCTATTATGTCCACTGAATTGAGAGGACTGGCCATATCTATAATACACATAGACCTATCTCCATCAGTGGTATGATCTTTGTATGTGAAGGATATATTTAATTAAAGTAAATAAAATTTGAGAGGCAGCATGATGTCATGCACAGGCTCTTCATGTAATCAGAAAGATTTAAGTTCAAGTCTTGCTTCTAACACATACTAGCTCTGTGTCTTAGACAAATTTCTTAACTTCTCAGTTACAGAAGAATTATTGATTTGCATCAGTGGAAGGAAATTTTTATATAGAGAGTTTAACCATACTGATGAAATCATAGATCTTCCCCTACCTCAAAACAAACAAATAAAGAACATCAGAATAATTTTAGATGATAAACCAAAATACTTTTACCATGAAAAAACAAGGGACAAGAAAATAAAGATGTACTTTCACAATTTATCGTGGGACCTGGCTCAAATCCATCATTGCAGTTGCATTCAAAACTCTCAACAACATTAATATATGTTCCATTTCCACAAGAATTCCCACCTGAACATTCATTTGTATCTGGAAGACAAGAACATTTGGAAAATAATCATTTTAAAAGACAGACACATTTGCACCCAAGTCTTTGAGGAAGAGAGTAGATGGTTTTGGGTACATACTAATATGTCACCATATAGTATGTAAGATATTTCTAAAGCAGGAGCACTATAGCTCTGTGAAGGAATTCAATGCATATGCATATTCTGTGCTCTATAATTCATGAAAATGAATATGGCTTTTGGCAGAAAAGATGAAGAAGGGGATAAGGCTGGCAAATGTGTTTGTCTGCCAACTTTATAGTGTGTACTTGTTCTATCCAAGCTACTTCTTATATGCAACCTCCACAACACCTCTTACATATTTCTCTTTCTATTTATATATCCACTATACTCGTTCAGGCCCTCAGTACTTCTCACCTCAACTACTGCAACAGTCTTCTAACAACAGGCCTCCTTGATTCCTGTATCTTCCTTCTCCAGAGCATCTTTGACATAGATGCCAAAATAATCCTTTTAAAGGATATATGACTAGCCTGATCAGTAATCTTTAAAGTCACTCTCTTGCCTCTAAGATAAAATATAAACTCCTAACACCTTTGAAAGTCTTTCACAAGTTGGCTCCAGCAACATTTATTTTACACAATTCCTCTTTATATACTTTATGTTCCAGTGAAAGTAACCAACTTGTGATTTCCTGAATTCTCCATTCCTTCTTCATCCTTCTTCAGTTCTATCATCCTTAGAAGGCACCCTCTCCTTATCTGCATTTTTAGAAGCCTGAGTTTGTGATTGAAAGATATTTAAATTATATTTATCTATTTATATGTTTTATCTACTTGTTTCTTGTACCTCCATAAGTTACTTGAGGGCAGGACCTTTTGTTTCTATCTTTGTATCTCCAGTATGTAGAATAGTAGACAAGTGAATTGCATTGTATAGTTAGTATTTTTGTGAGCAGAATTCAAGAAATCATCTGGTTCACATGAGTATACACAGGGTTGGACAGGAGATTAAAAGAAAAGAGCAGAAAAACTTCTGACTTTGGGTGCCTGGCAGATCTATTCCTGAACTCAAATAAGTGGATTTTAAACATATATGTCATAGAAAAATGAAATGAAAAACACAAAACATATTCATGGAAATGAAGTTCAATTTCTGGCTCAGGAAATTATTAGACATTTGCTCTTGAGAAAGTCATTTCACCTTTCTGTACCCCTATTTTTTATCTATAAAATAAAGGGATTAGACCACATGATATAACAATTAGAGATATCCAAAAATAGATGGGTGGAGGTAGTGTAAGCTACTTTTTTTCTATCACCAGTAACGTGCACATAGCAGATGCCTAATAAATATAATTGATTTATTATAGGGTTCCCTCTCATCAGAAGTCTTTAAGCAAAGGTTAGATTACTACTAGTTGGGAATACTGCAAGGGGGGATTTTGAATTAGAGAAGCTAGGTGCTGAGGTTCTTATATCTCTGAGATTCTGTCATCTCTAAGGTCTTGTTTCCATTCTAATATTATATGATTCTGTGAATTAACACTTACCCACACAGTGTACAGGAGCATAATCTAGGTTGTAACCCATGGGGCATTCACAGCCAAATAATCCATCTGTGTTGATACACTGACCATTTAAACAAATGTCTGAGCTTTCAAGACATTCATCGACATCTGAAAAACAGAATTCCCAACTTCTACATGTTTTTTCAATTGGCAAATTGGATGGGCTCAAGCAAATTTTCAGATTTTAAAACATATGCAATTTGTTCTACTATTCAACATGGCATCACAATTTTCTACATAGGTGGATGTATTCTGTGAAGTAACAGAGGAATATGCAACTGTTAAATGAGAATTTGTGAATTTCTTGCTAAAATAAAATTAAATAATACCTTCCCATGTATCATAAAGACTAGGGACAGTTCTGTGGCCAAATGGACATAAATCCTGGAAAGCAACTGCAGAGAAATACTGCATAATAATTCCAAGTTATCCTGATCATTAAATAGTTATTTTCCATTTAAAAAACTAAAATGTGTTTTGCTTCTAATTTACAATTCCAAAATAATGTGTATTTGAAAAGTTTCCTTGATTTTCTTCTATATGTGTTTTTATTCCAAAAGCAAAACCTAACAGCAACATATTTGAAAGAAGGACCAGTACTTTCCCAGCACATATCAACTCAATGCACTCTATCTCTCCATCTTTATGGTATGCTTTTTTTTTTTTCATCAAAAGAAGCATGGATGATGGTTTTGGATTTGTTGCAAACTAACCTATAATTTAATTCTGCTGTTTCTCTACAATGCAATAATATCCATGATATTGGTAGTGTGCTGATTCATCTTCTCAATATACGATTTCTCATCTTATGAGCTATTTTGTGATGCAATACTCAAATGAAAACTTTAATGAAAATTGTAACATAATTTGTATCTTCTCCCCTACTCCATTGCCTCCCAAATTCTTCCTTTTGAAGAAGGGTAATTCTAACTTTTAGAAAGTAATCATTGAGTTGTATATTACACGTAAATTTATATGAATTGTTAACTATTTTAAAGAACTTTTCTATATTAAGTTATTCAATGAAACATACCTACCTGAGTACGTTAGGAAATAATTTCATTTTAAGTTACATTGCTTTCTTTTTCATTCAAAAATCATTCAGTATTTTAAAATCCATACCTTCATCACCTTTGGGACACAGTTCACAAGGGTCACCCCACCCTTCTCCTGGCATTTTACTGCAACATTTGCCTTTGTGGCATTGAAAGCTTTTGCTACTGTGCACATTCCATTCTCAAAATTTTTCAAGTTGAAATTCTGGCGAGTATTTAAACAGTTAAAAAATGTAAAAAGACTTCAATTATTTAGGATGATATTATAAAATGTTCTAATGCAAATATCTCTGAATAAAGGGACTAAGACTTTTAGTTGAATACAGTTTAGTACAGCAGTTTAAACACATTATTTGGGAGTAACAAAGTACTTTTTGCTACTTGTAATAATCTTATTCCATGACAAATGGTAATGTCTATTTGCTTGCCTTGTAAAATTTTATAAGAGAATTAAGACTTGTGTAAATAAAACTAAGCAATTATTATCTATTCAAATATTATTCTGATGCCTCATCAGTATGTGGAAATAACCTTGGCTTCTTGAAGGCTAATATAGATCATATCAAGCTAGACATGCTCAAGCATGGACCTAATTTTGTCATCTCAGGTACAATCTTCAGCAAGATTCATCACCATGTTGACTACATTGGCTACAATAAGTGAAGTATTTATTACTGACAGGACCCCTAAACTCCTAACATGTCATAAAAAAAAGCTGCAGTCTGTCTCTATGTACCTTTTTTTCCTATCACTATCATGTTGTATCCTAGCAAAAAATAAAAATACTTTTCTCTCCCAACATCATATAAATCTAGAAAGTAGGATACATCACTCAGTGAAGTAAACCATATAGTGAAGTAAATCACATAGAAGGCTAATCCTTACCATAAGCATATGGAATATATATTGTAAACTCCAGTAACAGTTATAAAAGTGAACTACAATGGTCATTTTATTTTCAGTACAGTATCAAAGATGAATACAGTATTTTTATCCTCATACTAATTTGTTCTTTATTTTTCAACATTTAAAAAAAATGAGTTCTGAATTCTCTTTTCCCTCCAACCCCTCCCCCACCCACTATGAAGGCTAGGAATATGATATACATTATACATATGATATGATGTGAAATATATGTCCATATTAGCCATGCTACAAAAAACAACACTTTTTAAAAAGTAGTTCAAAGAATGTGTAATCTTGTTGATGCGGATATTTTCTGAAACAGTGAAGACTATTTTTCTTATTCTCTACAATTCCCATTAATGTCTTACCATAAATGGTCCATATCTACCCATTATTCTGGAGACCTTTCTTTATGACTTTTAACATTCTTTGTGTATTAGGATAGCACTTGGGTTATCTGTTATCCTTTCTTTTTAACTTCGTAAGAGTAAAGAGGAAGACTTCCTCCTCTTCTGATAAGAGATTTCCTGGATGATTAGGCCACTCCTTTCATATAAGAAGTTGTTGGTGATATTTTGTAGCTGGCTTCCACCTATATTGTATGTTTCTTGCTGTAAGGTGTCTTGCATCAGTATTGAAAAAGGATATTCCTCACCAAAAGCCCCCTACACAGAGGAAATTAGGGTCCCAATAAAAATTATTATAAAATGCATTTTATTGATGCTTTCTATTTTTATGTAATCACTTCCAGAAAAAAATGAAACATTTCTTCCTTTCTTCCAGATTGAACCCTTCCCTTGTAAGAAAAGACAAATAAAAACTGATACAATGCATACAATATTTTGCCCTCAAGTCCCCTGCTTGTTTGCTGTAAAGAATGCATGTTTCAATATCTAACTTCCAGGATTATCAATTTTTTTTTCATTTACTCAGACTTTGACTATCTTATGGTAATCTGTTCATTTACATTGTTGTAGTCATTATGTATATTGTTCTTTTGGTTGTGCTTATTTTGCTCTGGGTCAGTTCATACAAATCTTCCTATAATTTTCTGAATTCTTTATATTAGACATTACTCAATAATATTCCGCTGCATTAATATGCCAATTGTTTGCTTATTCTCCAAATGATGGACATATTTTTTTCAGTTTTTTTCTTATCAAAAGGAGTGCTGCACAAATACTTTGTTACACACTGGTAAAGGAAACAAAGTGTTCAATGTTGTTCATGTTGTTCATGTTCAATGTTGTCATCTCTACATCAAAAGGTTTGTCTAACATTTGGATTTTTTAAAAAATCACTTTCAAAAGCTCAAAATGGTAGATAGTAATTTATCTGAAAAAGATCTATTGAGTGTGATTGGCAGCCAAGGGCTCATGTGTAATAGCTTACTGGAATAAGAAGTGCTACTCTGCCCCTATCAAATCACATTTGGAGTATTGTGTTCGACTCTAGACATCACATTTAAGGAAGTACATTGATAAGTTAGAATGTATCCACAAGAGGGCAACCAGATATAAAGGGCTGGTGACAGCTAAATCTTGTGTGATCCTCACTATGCCTTCATGGTATTCAATTTTTTTTTTCTTTCTGGCTGCTTGCAATATTTTCTCCTTGACCTGAGCACTCTGGATGTTGGCTATAATATTTTTAGGAGTTTTCATTTTGAGGTTTCTTTCAGGAGGCAAACCAATGGATTCTTCCAATTTCTACTTTGCCCTGTGCCTGGTTCTAAGATACCTGGGAAGATTTCCTTTATAATTTCTTTTTTTTTCTTTTTTTTTCTTTTTAACAAGGGTTTTTAAACACTTTATTATTAAAGTGTTTAATTAAACACAATTAAAAATTTGTGTTACAAATTTTCTCCCTTCCTCCCTCCCCACCCACCCTCATTGAAAGGGCAAGCATCTAGATACAGGTGATAGATGTGTAGTCATGCAAAACACTTCCATAGTAGTCCTGTTGTGAAAAACTAAGTATATTTCCCTTCATCCTATCCTACCCCCCATTTATTCTATTCTCTCTTTTGACCCTGTCCCTCCTCAGAAGTGTTTTTGATTATCCCCTCCCTCAATCTGCCCTCCCCTCTATCAACCCCCTGCTCTCTTGTCCCCTTCCCCTCTTATTTCCCTGTAGAGTAAGATAAATTTCCATACCCCACTGTGTATGTTATTCCCTCCTTAAGCCAACTCCTATGAGAATAAGATTCACTCATTCCCTGTCACCTTCCCCCATTTCCCCTCCACTGTAAAAGCTTTTTCTTGTCTGTTTCATGTGAGATATTTTACCTCATTCCACTTCTTTCTCCTTCTCCCAGTATAATCTTCTCCCACCCCTTAATTTTACTTTCCAGATATCCCTTCATCTTCAACTCGCCCTGTGTCCTCTATCTATCTATACAAACATATAATTTTTGACTTTCAAATTCAAGACTTAAGTGAAACATGGAAGAGGTAAACAGGAAAGAGAAATCATAAGAGACTTATTAAGATTGAACTGTTTACATTCCTGCAGGGAAAGATGATATTTGTAACTCATGAGTCCTTTGAGTCCTTTGGCATCACTCTCAGTTTTTCCTTTACTTCTCTTACTTGCTTCTCAAAATCCTTTTTGAGCTCTTCTATGGCCTGGGACCAATTCATATTTTTCTTGGAGGCTTTGGATGTAGGAGCTTTGGCTTCGTTGTCTTCTGGTTGCATGTTTTGATCTTCTTTGTCATCAAAGTAAGAAAATATAGTCTGACTCTTTTTACACTGCTTGCTCATGATCCTGGCCAATTACTTGAGTTGTAAACTCTTTGTTAAGGTAGGAGTCTGTTTCCAGTGTGGAGAATATACTGCCCCAGGCTTCAGGGGTTTTGTGCAGCTGTGTTCAGAAATACTTCTAGGGACCTGTAAATTTTCAGTTCTTCCAAGGTGGTATGATCAAGGGAGAGGTGTTTACTCCTTTCCTGGCCTGTGCTCTGGTCTATGAGCACTCTTTTCTGTCTTGAAACTGTGAGAAGGGTTTCCTCTCCACAGCCACTACAAGCTTCACCACACCAGTGTTCCTCCTCGCCCTAGGACCACTACCTAGAACTGTGACCCAGATCCAAGCATGGGCAAAGCAAGAGAATCCTGCACCAGCAGACAGATCCCTGCAATCCCCCTCTGATCAGCCACTCGATTCCCCCTCTGTCTGTGGGCCAAAAGCTCGGGAGGCAGCTGCTGCCCTGAGGGCACACTCGGGACTTGTGGCTGAGACCTAGCTCCTTCTCTCACCACAGTCACAGACTTTTCCCACTGACCTTCTAAGTTGTCTTTGGCATTCGTGGGTTGAGAAGTCTGGAAACCACCACAGCTGCCCGTGATTCAGTCCTCTGAGGCCTGCTTCAGGGTCACTGTGGCCTGCGCGCCCACGCCAAACTTCACTCTTCTCCCAGTCCGGCATGATATACCTTTCTGATCAACCATTCAGGCTGTCTTGGGCTGGAAATTTGTTTCACTCTGTCTTTTTGTGGGTTCTGCTGCTTTAGTTTGTTTAGAGCCATTTTTATAGGTATTTGGAGGGGTTTGGGGGAGAGCTTAAGCAAGTCACTGCTTTTACTCCGCCATCTTGGCTCCGCCCCTATGATTTCTCAGAACATGATATTTAGCTCTTTTTTTCATTAGTGGTTTTCAGGTAGGCTAATTCTTTTTAAGTAATCTCTCCTCGATCTATTTTCCAGATCAATTGCTTTTTGCTATGAGAGTTATATTGATTTTTCAGTCTTTTAAATTTCTTGTATTGTTTTTTGATGCCTCATGGAGTCATTAGCTTCTAAATCTAAACTTGAAAGAGTTGTTTTCTTCAGTGAGGTTTTGTCTCTCTTTTACCAAGCTCTTAACTCTTAATTCTCTTTTCATAACTCTCTTCGATTGTTCTTATTTGGTTTTTTTAATTATTTTTAGCTTCTTCTTTAACTCTTCCAGGAATTCTTTCTGGGCTTGTTTCCAACCTGTATTTTTTTTTTAAGGCTTTGCTTGTACATGTTTCCAAGTCATTATCTTCTTCTGTGTTTGAATCTTGCCTTTGTCACCACAGTAGCTCTTTATGGTCAGGTTCTTTTTTGTTTGTTTATACTCCTAGCCTACTTCTTAACTTTGGACTTTATATTAGTGCTGGGCTCTGTTGTCTTCAGGGATGGGGGGCAGGAAGGGGCAAGGATTTCCCTGCTTTCATGGCTTAATCTGGGGAACTGCAAGTTTTTAATACTTCCAAAGTGATGTTGTTATGGAATGGGTGTGCTAGGGAGCTAAGGCAAAAATCTTTTTTCTTACTCTGCCATTTTGGTTCAGCAAGAACTGATGAATCAGTCAATACAATTTTAGAGATGACTAGAGATCTGTTATCAAGACATAACACAGAAGGAAAGATTACAAAAGAAATATAGATAAATAAAAGGTGTTTGAGAAAATATCTCACATGCTTGTTTTATTTTCTTTTAAAAATCATTATGAAAATGATGTATGTCTACCTTAAGAATATACTTGATACAAACATGAAAAGAGAAGAGGAAAATGTTTTAAGATGATTTTCTATAGCAAATCATGTATTTACAGCCACACAAATGATCAAAAAGTGTACAGCATATAAGATCTTTATTTTCATATATTATTTCTTGGTTTTAAAACACTATTTGACCCAAAAAGAACAAAATGCAACCCAGAAGGCTTAGACATGATATCTGAATATTAAAATCATAGAAAATCTTATAATAGATGATTTACTGAATACTTACATGAAATAAGATTTAAAATTGGGAGAATGCCCTAAGATGCCACCAGTCTTCAAAGTAGTTTTGTGCAAAGCTTAACCAAAATAAAGATTCCCTATTGCAGACTAGGTTGTCTAGATGCTTTTATTTGCAGATGCTATTGTACTAATTGTTTTAGGCCAGGGGTAGGGACCTGTGACCTTGAGGCCACATATGGCCTTTTAGGTCCTTGAGTGTGGCCTTCTGACTAAGTCCAAGTTTTACAGAACAATCCTTTTATTGAGGGGATTTGTTCTATGAAGTTTGGATTCAGTCAAAGTGCTACACTTGAGGACTTAGAGGGCCACATGTGGGCCTCGAGGCCGCAGGTTCCCTATTCCTGTTTTAGGCTCTGGAACAATATAAAGCCTCTAGAACATAGTGAAAGAAATTGGTTCAAAATTGGAAAAATAAAGTTGATAAAAAGTACATATTGACTAGAGTTACGACATACAACTGGATTTGCAATCCATTGAATTCATTCATCGATTATCTTAGACAAGTCCTAGTGGACTCAGAATTGAGTGGTAGGATGAGGGGTGATGGAAACCATGTATTGCTTTCAGTGATCCCAAACTGCTTGCAACCACAAAAATTTCTCTCTTTAATATAATTATTTCTCTGATTATGTTACCATAAACTATGCAACATCATGATAAAAGAAGAATTAAAATTATATAAACCCAGTGACCAATGGGTAACCCAAGGGAAAGCTCCATTGTGGGAATAAGTAGGTTACAGAATGTTAATAACAATAGTGGGATGAAAGATACTATACATATATGCATATGTGATTATATGTAATGCATAGACATATGTCACATATATATCATCTATCTGACTGCAAAAAAGATAACTAATCTTGCATTAAGAATGAGATTATAGTACTCCTAATATTTTAAAAAGAACCAGAGGAAATTCTGTTGGTCTGATTCTGTGGAGAATATATTGAAAACATGGACAAGAACTGCATAAAATAAAGGGTGGAGGGATTGTAGAAGGTGTAGTTTAGGTGGGTATCTGCAATGATGAAAACAAGAATCCATTATGGAATTAAGTAGTAACAAAATGGTAAATATTGAGTCTAAGGTGTCATTTCAAACCTTACCAAAGCATCTCCATCCATTATCAGAAAAAATAAAATGTGTGGGGTAGGCACATTGGAAACCCCATAGAGTATTTATGCAAGAGTCAAAAAGGCAGATGTTGGGATCTTCATCACATTCATTTATATCTATAAAATAATAGGAAAAAAAGATTCAAAATTGCCTTTCCTCATGCTAATTTAATGAATTCTATGTTTTCTAGAAAATTACATGTTTAATCCTAAGACTACTGTAAGATAAAAAATAAACAAACAAAAAGAGGTAGTACAGTGGATAAAACTGAATTTGGAGTCAGGAAGAACTAGATTTGAAACCTGCCTCAGACACTTACTAGCTGTGTGATGCTGGGCAAATCACTTAATCTCTCTGTCCCTTATATGTAAAATGGTGATAACTACAGCCCCTACCTCACAGGGTTGGTTTGTTATAAAGATCAAATCAGTAAAGATACATAAAGTGTTTTGCAGACCTTAAAGCTCTATATAAATACTAGCTATTATTATTTTAAAATATGAGTTATATCCAATTCTTACTTCTAGTTACTATTCTTGCTTCAAAATTAAAAATTATATCTGCTACCCCTCCCACATACACACACATAGCAGTAAGGCTTAATGAAGAAAGAACTAATTTCAAATTCAGGAAAATATGCATTCAAATTCAGCCTCTGATACATAAATTCTCTAAGCCTCTGAATTGTAAAGAAATGCCTGACCTACATTGGTAGAGGGAGTTTTCTCAGCTGGGGATTCAGTTCTAGTCTCTAACCCTTTGATATGTACATACTGGGGGATCTATTCAAGTGTATTTATAGAAAAAAAAAGTCATTCATATCATTCTCGAGAAGCAATCTACCTGAATAAAAATGACAAACAGATCCTACTATAAAAGGGGGCAAAATAATAAACTGTTAAAAAAAGTTTCTAAAGGCACAAAACAGGGAACAAGCATTTACTCACTGTATGCAAAGTGCAAAGCATTTTACAAATATTATCTAATTTGATCCTCACAACAATTCTATGACATAGGTGGTATGATTATCCCCATTTTAGAATTGAGGAAACTGAGGTGGAGGGTAAGGCTTGCCCAGGGTCAAAGAGCTAGTAAATATAGGAAATAAAAGTTTTCAGATACAATGAAAGATGATTAAATTGATGGCTTCCTGATTAAAAGATAAAGTGAGACTTCCTGGAGTCAAGATGATGGAGTAAGCACTAAATTGCTGTAGCTCTCCCATATTCACCTCAAAACAACAATAAAACAGTGACTTAGAAGAAATCTAGGAACAGCAGAGAAAGCAGAAAGAAGGGGTGAAGTGGTCTTAAAAGCCCGGGTGACTTGGAGGATTGGCAAGGCAGGTCCATCTCACTCAGATAAAAGGGGAGCTCATTCCGGGATAGGAAGCATCCCAGCAAGCCAGCAGCAAGCCCCATCTCAGCAAACTAGCTAGAGATCTTGAGTCCCAATATGTTGGAGCAGGCAAATGCCTTAAGATAGCCAGGGGAACCGGCAAACTCCAGCTCCAAGAACCACTATGTGCTTCACCAAAGCCTAGGGCAAACAGGTATCCTCCAACAGCCAGAACTCCACATGCATCAGCACAGCCCTAGGCAGACGGGCATGTTCCACTGACCAGACCTCCTTGTGCTTCAGTGTAGCACCCAGGAAACACAGAAAAAACCCCACTGGGCCTCAGCACAAGCCAAATATCACCACAGGACCCCAGTTCAGCACCAGGTAAGCAGCCAGACCACAACAGCCTCCAGTCACCCCCAGCCCACTCCCTCAACATAGTACCAGACATAAGAGTTCCCCATGGGCCTCAGGACATCAGCACAGCACCAGGTAAACTGCAAGGGCCTACAGCCACTGACACAAGAAGCCTGAGACAGAGCCCCGTCTACCCTGGGAGCAGAGATCAATTAAAAAAAAAAAAAAAGGAAAAAGACCCCCCCATACCCCAAATGAGCAAAAACAACAACAACAAAAAAAAATAATCTCACCATAGAAAGATATTATGGTGACAGGGAAGACCAAGACATAAACTCAGAAGGGGACAATAATGTCAAAACAACTATCTGCAAAACCCCAAAGAAAAACAGGAAGTAGTCTCAACCCCAGAAAGAACTCATAGAAGAGCTCAAAAAGGAGCTTAAAAGGGAAAAGAAATGAGAGTGACACAACAGAATTATGAAAAAAGAATCAATAGCTTGGAAAACTTCTTAAAAAGTAGAACCGGCCAAATGGAAAAGGAGATACAAAAATCCACTGAAGAAAACAACTCCTTAAAGAGCACAATTTGCCAAATGGAAAAGAAAGTACAAAAGCTAATTGAGGAAAACAACACCTTATAAGTTAGAATTGGGCAAGTGGAAGTAAATGACTCTATGAGACATCAAGAATCAATCAAATTCAAAAGAATGAAAAAATGAAAATGGAAAATACCTCATGGGAAAAACAACTGAACTGGAAAATAGAGAGACAATATCAGAATCATTGCACTGAAAGCCATAATCAAAAGGAGGACCTGAACAGAATCTTTAAAAAAAAATTATCAAGGAAAACTGCCCTGATGTTCTGGAACCAGAGGGCAAAATAGGCATTGAAAGAATCCACCAATCACCTCAGGAAAGAGATCCCAAAACAAAAACCCAAGGAACTTGGGTTATAGCCCAGGAATAGTCAATTTCAGAACAGGAACACATACTACAAGTGGCCAGAAAGAAACAATTAAATATTGGGGAGCCACAATCAGGATCACATAGGACGTGGCAGCTGCAACAATGAAGGATCAGAAGTCATGGAACATGATATCCCCAAGGGCAAAGGAACTGTGATTACAACCAAGAATCACTTGCCCAACAAAATTAAGTATACTACATCAAGGCGGGGGAAAGGTCATTCAATGAAATAGAAGGATTTCAAGCTTTCATAAAGAGAAGACTGGAACTAAACCAAAAATTTGACCTCCAATATCAAGATCCAAGAGAAGCATAAACAGGTAAGAAGAGAAAAGAAAAGAAGAGATTTCAATAGAGCCAAACTGCTCACATCTGTACATGGGAAGATGATATTTGGAACTCTTAAAAATTTTATCACTAACAGTACAGATAGAAGGAATATACATAGACAGAGGGTATAAGTATAAGGGGAATTTGAAGGCATGACATAAAAAATTAAGGATGAGAAAGAGTATAATAGGTACAGAAGGAAGGAAGATGTAAAATGGTACAAATTATCACACATGAAGAGGCAAGAAAGACTTATTACAGTCAAGGTGAAGATGGGAGGGGGGAGGCAAGAGGCATCACTTGAACCTTACTCTCATTAGTATTGGCTCAAAAAGGGAATAATATAAATCAGGGGTGGGGAACTTGTGGCTAGGTCCTTCGGTGTGGCCTTTACACTGAGCCCAAGTTTTACAAAACAAATCCTTTTACTAAGGGATTTGTTCTGTGAAGTTTGGATTCAGTCAAAGGGTAGCACTTGAGGACCTATAGGGCTACATGTGGCCTAGAGGAGGCAAGTTCCCCACCCCAGATATACATAATCAACTGAATATAGAAATCTATCTTATCTGACAGGGAAGTATGAGGGGAGATCAGGTAAGGGAGGGAGGGTTGGGACTGACAGAAGGGAGGGCAGATCAGGGGAGGTGGTAGACAAAGCAAAATACTGTGGAGGGAAAGGGTGAAAAGAGACAGGATAGACAAGAGGAAGAACAGGATGGAGGGAAATACACAGGTAATAATCCTAACTGTGAATGTGAATGGGATGAACTGTCTCATAAAACAGAAGCAGACAGCGGAACGATCAAAAACCAGAATCCTATAATATGTTGCTTACACTTAAAGCAGAAAAACACACACAAGTAAACGTAAGGGGCGGGAGCAGAATATGTTATGCTTCAGCTGAAGAAAAAAAAAAAAAAAGCAGGGGTAACAATCCTGACAAAGTAAAAGCAAAAATAGACCTAATTAAAAGAGATAAAGGGCAAGGGCCACGCCCCCCTCCTCAGGCTTCGGAGAGGCTGTACCATTCCGCGTCCCACTCTCCAGTCACATCCCCTTTTTCATTCCTGTGGCTTTGCAGCCGCCTAGCCGCTGCTCACATGACCTCCTACACCCGGAAAACCGGCCCTCCCTCCCTACTACTTCCGCTCCTATCGATCCCAGGTTCCCGAGTTCATGGCAGCTCCGGGGCTGACATTACGTTACGGCAGGGGGCGAAAGTCACGTGTTCTCACCCCGCGTCCTGTCCCGAGAATGAGGGGATGGGGCGCGGGGGGCGGGGGGCAATGCGGCTCTGTAGAGCTGGGAACTGACCAACACCACGCAGGAAGGGCAGAGCATGGACGAGATCAATAAGCATGACAAGAAGCAGCAGCAGGGAATCGTGGCGGCCAAGCCCCCGACTAAGGATCACCATTACTTCAAGTACTGCAGGGTCTCAGCCTTAGCCCTACCGAAAGTGGGGATGCAGGCTGGATCAGGGGGCAACTGAAGTGATGGGTTTGAGGCTCGGGAAAGTGGATGGTGAAACCATGATCAGTATGGACAACTTTGCCTTATCAGTAGAGGGACTGAAATTCGCGTTAATGCATATGGCAGCATATATAGAAAATGCAAAACAGATGGGTCGACTCGAAAATGCAATGGCCTTGGCTCTCTGGGATTGATGTTATCATCCAGACACAAGAACCATTTTTAGCAGTAGTTATTGATCCAACAAGAGCAATGTCTGCAGGAAAAGTGAATCTTTGTGCCTTTAGGCCCTACCCAGAGGGCTATAAACCACCAGATGAAGATCCCCCCGAGTACCAGACAACTCCACTTAATAAAATAGAAGACTTTGGAGTACACTGCTAACAGTACTATGCTTTAGAAGTCTCTTTAAATCATCTTTGGATCACAAATTGCTTGAACGTCTGTGGAACAAATATTGAGTAAATACTCTGAGTTCTTCCAGCGTACTTACAAATGCAGATTATACCACTGGACAAGTCTTTGATTTATCTGAAAAACTGGAACAGTCAGAAAGAAGCTCAGCTTGGAGAAGGGAGTTTCATGTTTGGTTTAGAAACATATGACTAAAAGTCAGAAGACAAACTTCCTAAAGCAACAACAGACAGCCGTAAGACCAGCATAAGCAGCTATCAATGGATTGATGTCTCAGGTTATTAAGGATAAAGTTTTCAACCAAATTAGCATTTCTTTTTTTAAACATAAAACAATTATTTTAATTAGCTTATAAAGCAGATTTCAATTCCTTTTCCCAATATACAAAGGAATCCTACCATTTTTTTATAAGTAAAGTGTAAAAAATTTATTTGTATAAATAAAATTATCAATCCCTTGCATATACAAGTAGAAAATTCAGTCTCTTAATTCTGTCTCCAGATATATCCTTAATCTTAGAACTAAAAGCAAACTGGAGACATTGAAATTCATAGAATCTTAGAGCTAGAAGAGATCTTAGACATTCCAAGATTTTACAAGATATTAGAGGATATCTGATCTAATCTTATTTTACAGTCAAAGAAACTGATGCCTAGACAACTTAAGTGACTCACCTAAAGTTGTATTGCTACTGGAGTGTAATACATAGCAAATAAAATGTATTTTTTATGTTCACCAGAATGTGTAACATATAACTCAGACACCTGAGTTCTGATCTTACCTCTGACACTTCCTCTGTGACCATGACAAAATCTCAATATTTCCTAGCTTCAATTTCTTTTTTTAAGTTTTTTTCAGATTTTATTAATTTATTTATTTTTAGTTTTCAACATTCACTTAAGATAGATTTTCATAACCAACTAAGTGTGTGTTATTCCCTCCTTAAGCCAAATCTGATGAGAATAAGATTCACTCATTCCCTCTCACATTCCCCCATTTCCCCTCCACTGTAAAAGCCTTTTCTTGTCTGTTCCATGTGAGATTATCCCATTCTACCTCTCCCTTTCTCCTTCTTCCAGTATAATTCTCTCACCCCTTAATTTTATTCTTCAGATATCACCCCTTCATCTTCAACTCACCCTGTGCCCTCTATCTATCTATCTATCTATCTATCTATCTATCTATCTATCTATACACACACATATAATTTTTCCCTCCCACTACCCTAATACTGACAAAGGACTCATGAGTTACAAATATCATCTTTCCCTGCAGGAATGTAAACAGTTCAACCTTAATAAGTCCCTTATGATTTCTCTTTCCTGTTTACCTCTTCATGTTCCACTTGAGTCTTATATTTGAAAATCAAAATTTCTATTCAGCTCTGGTCTTTTCATCAAGAATGCTTGAAAGTCCTCTATTTTATTGAATGTCCATTTTACCCCCTGAAGGATTATACTCAGTTTTGCTGGGTGGGTGATTCTTGGCTGTAATCCTATCTCCTTTGACCTCCAGAATATTATATTTCATGCCCTGCAGTCCCTTAATGTAGAAGCTGCTAAATCTTGTGTTATCCTGATTGTGTTTCCACAATACTTGAATTGTTTCTTTCTGGCTCCTTGCAATATTTTCTCCTTGACCTGGAAATTCTGGAATTTGACTACAAGATTCCTAGGAGTTTTCCTTTGAGGATCTCTTCAGGAGGTGGATTCTTTCAACTTCTATTTTGCCCTCTGGTTCTAAAATATCAAGGCAGTTCCTTGATAATTTCTTGAAAGATGATGTCCAGGCTCTTTTTTTGATTATGGCTTTCAGATAGTCCAATAATTTTTAAATGATCTCTCCTAGATCTATTTTCCAGGTCAGTTGTTTTTCCAATAAGATATTTCACATTGTTTTCTATTTCTTCATTTTTTTGGTTTTGTTTTGCAATGTCTTGATTTCTCATAAAGTCACTAGCTTCCATTTGCTCCATTCTAATTTTAAGGAAGTATTTCCTTCAGTGAGCTTTTGGACTTCCTTTTCCATTTGGCCAATTGTGCTTTTTAAAGCATTCTTCTCCTCATTGGCTTTTTGGACCTCTTTTTCCATTTGGGTTAGGCTATTTTTTAAGGTGTTATTTTCTTCAATATTTTTTTGGGTTTCCTTGAGCAAGCTGTTGACTTGTTTTTCATGATTTTCTTCCATCACTCTCATTTCTCTTCCCAGTTTTTCCTCTACTTCTCTTACTTGCTTCTCAAAATCCTTTTTGAGTTCTCCCATGGCCTTGGACGAATTCATATTTGTACTGGAGGCTTTGGATGTAGGAGCTTTGACATTGTTGTCTTCTTTGTTAAGGTAGGGGTCTGCTTCCAGTGTAGAGAATGTACTGTCCCAAATATCAGGGGTTTTGTGCAGCTGTTACCAGAGATACTTCTAGGGACCTGTAAATTTTTAGTTCTTCCAAGGTGGTATGATTAAGGATGAGGTGTTTACTCCTTTCCTGACCTGTGCTCTGGTCTATGAGTGACCACAAGCACTCTTTTCTGCTTGGAACATGAGGGGGATTCCCTCTCCACTGCTGCCAGAAGCTCCACCACACCAGCACTCCTCCTTGCCTCAGGACTGCCACCCAAAACTATGACCAAGACCCAACCACAGGCAAAGCAAGAGAATCTTCCCTCAGCACCAGCAAAGAGATTCCCTGCAACACCCTCTTGATTAGCCACTCAATTTCCCCTCAGTCTGTGGGCGGAGAGCTCCGGAAGCCGTGCCCTCCCAGAGCTGCACCAGGACTTGGGGCCGGGACTGAGCTTCTTTCCTTTTCCTTTCACAGACTTTTCCTACTGACCTTCTAAGTTCCTTTTGGCAATCATGGGTTGAGAAGTCTGGAAACCGCCACAGCTGCCTGTGATTCAGTCCTCTAAGGCCTGCTTCAGGTTTGCTGAAGCCTGTTTTGCCTGCTCGCCCATGCTGAACTGCATTCCTCTCCCAGCCTGGTGTGATAGACCTTTCCAATCAACCATTCAGGTTGTCTTGGGCTGTAAATTTGTTTCACTCTGTGTTTTTGTGGATTCTGCTGCTTTAGAATTTGTTTAGAGCCATTTTTTACAGGTATTTGGGGGAGAGCTCAAGCAAGTCACTGCTTTTACTCTGCCATCTTGGCTCCTCCTCCGCACCCCCATTAATATTTTTATTAGTTTATTTTGATTTATCACCAATCACTTACATAAGCTTTTGAGTTTTAAATTTTTCTCACTGTGCCTTCCCAAGATGGCATGCAATCTGATATAGGCTATACATATACATTCCTATTAAACATATTTTCACATTAGTGGTATTGTAAAGAAGAATTAGAACCAATAGGAGGAACCACAAGAAAGAGAAAACAAAAAACAGCAGAAAAAAATAGCAAATAGTATGCTTCGATCTGTATTCAAACTCCATTGTTCTTTCTTTGGATGTGGATAGCATTTTCCATCATGAGGCCTTTGGAGGTGTCTTAGATCCTTGTATTGCTGAGAAGTGTTAAGTTTATCAATATTAGTCATTGCACAATGTGGCTGTTACTGTGTACAACATTCTCCTGGTTCTGCTCATTTCACTTGGCATCAGACCATACAAGTCTTTCCAGGTTTTTCTGAAGTCTGCCTGTTCATCATTTCTTATAGCACAACAAATTAATATTTCTTAAACAATAACATCAAGTAGTTACTCATTTCTGCCTTAGAGGCATTTCCTTTGTTTGACAGCTAACCCTAACCCTAACCCTTGAGAAAAATACTCAAGTTAACACTTTAAAATTGGTCATCAAAAATCTGATTTGCAAAACAAAGTGCTTTGAAATTCTGTTAGTTGTATTAAAAATATTTCAGATTACTTTGGAAAACTTCTTAAGAAGAAACTAAAAAATCATCACTTTGATATTGGGTTTTAGTTATTTATACTGATCACTGAGCTATAATAAAAATTCCTCTAAAATGAAAAAAAAGAGATAAGGAATGAAACTACATCTTGCTACAAGGTACACAGACAACGAAGCAATCAAATTAGAAGGGCAAGGAATAGTCTACTTGTCAGTTCTATTGTGAGGGGAAGAATTCATGACCAAACAAGAGATAGAGAGTATTATAAAATGTAGAATAATTTTGATCATATTAAATTGAAAAGATTTTGCACAAACAAAACCAGTGCAACCAAGATTAGAAGGAAAGCAGAAAGCTGGGGAACAATCTTTATAGCAAGTGTCTCTAATAAAGGCCTCATTTCTCAAATATATATAGAGAACTGAGTCAAACTGATGAGAATACGAGGCAAATGGTCAAAGGACATGAACAGGACAAGACAAATGGTCAAAGGACATGAACAGGCAGTTTTCAGATGAAGGAATCAAAGATGAAGATAGACATATGAAGAAGTGCTCTAAATCACTTTTGATTAGAGAAATGCAAATTATTACAACTCTGAAATCCACTTCACACTAATCGGATTGGCTAATATGATGAAAAAGAAAGAGGATAAATGTTGGACAGGATTTGGGGATATTGGGACACTAATGCACTGTTGGTGGAGTTGTAAACTGATCCAACCATTCTGGAGAGCAATTTGGAACTATGCCCAAAGGGCAACCCAACTGTGCATACCATTTGATCCAGCATTGCTGGTGGCAAAATATTGGAAATTGAGGGGATGCATATCAATTGGGGGATGGCTGAACAAGCTGTGGTATATGAATGTAATAGAATACTATTTTGCCATCAGAAACAATGAATAGGCACATTTCAGAAAAAAACATGGAAATATTTGTACAGGTAGATACAAAGTGAAATGAGCAGAAGCAGGAAAACAACATGCACAGTATTGGCAACATCGTGTGATGATTAACTATGAAAGACTCAGCTTTTCTCAGCAACCCAATGATCCAAGACAAGTACAAAGGGCTCACAAAGGAAAATACTATCCATATCCAGATAAATAACTGATAGATTCTGAATGCAGATTGAAGCATATTTTTTCACTTTATTCTTTCTTGTTTTTTTTTTCCTTTTGATCTTTCTTTTTCCACAACTGTGATGAATATGGAATTATGTTTTATATGATAGCATATGTATAAACTACATCAAACTACCTCCTATTTTCAGAAGAGGGGAGGGGTGGGAGGGAAGAGAAAAATTTGAAACTTGAAATCTTATAAAAATGAATGTTAAACATTTTCTTGATATGTAATTGTGGGAAAAAATAAAATACTATTTAAAAAAGATAAAGGGAAATCAGCCTTACAGGATTGGTTGGTGGTTGTTCTTTATTCTCCAAGAGAATAAAAATGACATCACTATGTGGGAGCTAAGGTACAGTGTGTCTGACTGTGGCTGATCAGAAATATGAGCTCAGAAGGCTTTGCACAAATAGTCCACATGAACATTTGAAGTGGAGATGTCTCTAAATTTGCACATCTCACATTTCTTTTGAGATACTGTAATTCTTCACTCATAGAGCAGAACAAATTTTTTGACATAGGCATGCCATGCTGGGCAGTCCTTTACCAGTATCTCCCATGTCATGCAATATATTCCAAAGTTCTTCTGAGAGAACTTGAAAGTGTCCTTGTACTGCTTCTTCTGACCACCATGTGAATGCCTGCCTTGTGTGAGTTCTCCTTAAAATAGTCTTTTAGGCAAATGTACATTTGGCATTTGAACAACATGCCCAGCCCATCAGAATTGTACTCTCTGTAGTACAATTTGAATGCTTGGCAGTTTAGCTCAAGAAAGGACTTCAGTGTCTGGAACTTTATCTTGCAAGATGATCTTCAGAAT